GGTGGATTTTAGTGGGGTGAAATTTATGTCCATTTATGCCGCAGTACGGATGATATTTTGATAATTCAAAGGATTTTGGTGTGGTGAAAGTTTGAAAACTGTCCATTTATGTTCATTTATGCTGCATTATGGGTGATATTTTTGATAATCCAAAGGATTTTAGTGGGATGACAATTTGAAAAATGTCCATTTGACAATTAACAAAAAACATCTTCCAGAATTCCAGAATAAAAAAATATTCGATATACACTCCTGGGATATTCTATGTACACCGTTTTTTTCAATTCTGGAAGATGCCCCATTTTTTCAATTCTGTATTCTATGTTCTCGTACTTATATATATTAGATGTATATAGATGCATAAAGGTGTTTAAAAATGTATACAATACATGTATCTAGATCCACAACGATGCATATAGATGTATATAGTATATAGTTGGTAGCATTATGCAATTATAAAATTACAATAATGTTATATTTAGCATTTTTACTACAGTATGATTATCATTTTATAACAGGCAGGCCGCCCAGGGCTATAAAAGACAGTATGACTTGCATTTGGCATTTCATAAGGCCCAAGCTGGTGCAGGTAGTAAGTTGTTTTGGTTTCTTATATTATGCTTATTGTTGCAGCTGTGACCTTGAGTCACTATTTGCCATTTTATAATGTTTCAAAAGCTTATTGCATGCGTGCAAGATTCATGTTTGTTTTTATTGAATATCCATTAAATAAGGTACACTTACTTTGCAAATCTTTGCAATATAAACAATATCTTTTGATAATTACAGGTTTTACCAGCACAAACTGAGAAAAACATACCCGGAGAAATCAGGTTTGCACAGTTTTTGTTCTTATAAGATGCCCTGGAGGTGCCTTATAGAATGACAGTTTGTCACCTTCAATTCTTTCTGACACCAAATTAGTATAAATTAGTCGAATTGCCACTCCCACCTTATAAAATGGAGTTTGCAGTCCTTATAACCCAACATATAATATGAACCCAAGGGATGTAAGAGATTTTTATGCGATTTTGGTAACCATGATACCGCAATTTATAAGCTTTTCGTTTTCTTTATAAAATGCTAATTGTTATTCCCCTATATTGCTGTAGGTTGGATAATTGCAATTTTAAAAACTTTTGGTGCCATGGATCTCTCATTTCAAAAGGGCTTTCTTATTGGGTCCCGCCCCCCACCTTCAGCTTCTAATTAGAAGGGGGTTTATATATATATAATATCTATATATATATATATAGATATAGATAGTAGTACCCGCACGAGGCGGGGCGGAAGTTGCCTTAGGGATATACAAGAGCTTTATCATCTATAGAACTTGCATCGCCGTGCGCCAGCCAAGCCCGTGCTTGCGTGCATTCTGCGAAAGTGGTGCCCTGCTTCACATGTCACATTTGAAGCTCCACTTCGCACTTCACACTTCTCACTGCACTCTTCACACTCCACACTTCACACTTCACACTTCACAGTCCACACTTCGCACTTCTCACTTCTCACTGCTTTCTTCACACTCCACGCCTCACACTTTGTATTACTTTGTACTACAAAGCTTGCACAAAGCACGTTCCATTATATACTACTTTGTACTGCAAAGCTTGCACAAAGCACTTCCCAGTACTACTTTGTACTACAAAGCTTGCACTAAGCACTTCCCAGTACTACTTTGTACAAAGCTTGCACAAACTACTTCCCAGTACTACTTTGTACTACAAAGCTTGCACAAACCACTTCCCAGCACCACTTTGTAACACAAAGCTCGCACCCAGTACTACTTTGTACTACAAAGCTTGCAAAAAGTACTTCCCAGTACCACTTTGTGCTACGAAGCTTGCGCAAAGCACTTCCCAGTACTACTTTGTACTACAAACCTTGCCAAAGTACGTCCCAGTACTACTTTGTGATACAAAGCTTGCACAAAGAAAGCTTTTACACACGGCAAGTTCTCTCGCAGAGAAGTTTTTACACACAGCAAGCTTTTTAAACAGAGAAGCTTTTACACACAGAAGCTCTTACACACAACAAGCTTTTACACAGAGAAGCTTTTACACACAGCAAGCTTTTACACACAGCAAGCTTTCACACACAGCAAGCGTTCACACACACAGAACACGTACACACAGTGCTTTTACACATGGCAAGCGTTCACACACAGAAACTTTTTCACAGATAAGCTTTTACACATAGAGAAGCTTTTGCACAAGCTTTTACACACAAGATCTCTTACACACAGCAAGCTTTTACAGAAAAAAGTTTTTACACAGAGAAGCTTTCTTGTAAATAATCACAACAGCAATTGCAGCTCCAAAGCCGGATCTCGGCGCCAAAGCAAAAAAAGAACGCGATTTTGAAGCACTTCTTAACCGGACTTTTAAAAGGAAAATTATTAGCGCCAACATTGAGAAAATCTACTCACAAATCACTGTCGCAGCCTTGATGCAGCCACTCCAATACTACTATTTACGAGATCCAGCTGCAAAAGACAATAGTATTGCGCATGCAGCCGCGGCACCAAGCAACCTTGACGCAGCCACTACACTGCGATCTGCAGGGAAATTGCAGCTCCAAAACCGGATCTCGACGCCAAAGCGACAAAAAGACGTTTTGAAGCATTTTTTAAAAGGAATTTTGAAAGGAAAATTACTAGCGCCAACATTGAGAAAATCTACTCACAAATCACTGTCGCAGCCTTGATGCAGCCACTCCAATACTACTATTTACGATCTCCAGCTGCAAAAGACTGTAGTATTACGCATGCAGCGCAGCGCCAAGCAACCTTGACGCAGCCATTACAATGCGTTTCACAGCACCAGATGACAACAATCATGTAGCCATTCCACTGCAATCTGCAACCACAGATTCCAAAACACCCAAAGCAGCTTGAAGCCACCGCCGCAGTGCGGCCCGGCAAAAAAAGGGCAAACCGACCGCAGCCGCACCCGCCGCACACGGGAGGTACCTTTCATCGTCGCCTGCAGCCACTTTACACGGAAAAACACAAGGTTTCGTGCTCCGGCTTCCTCCCCAAAACAAAGCCCATGCAACATTCATGCAGCCACTACAATGCGTTTTGCAGCATCACGTGGCTAACCCGCATGTATCTACACACATGGCAACACCAGATGACAACAATCATGTAGCCATATGTAGCCATTCCACTGCGATCTGCAACCACGGATTCCGAACATCCTAAAACACGCACGCACAAGCACACCCAAAGCAGCTTGAAGCCACCGTTACAGTGCCGCAAACAGAAAAAGGCAAACCGACCGCAGCCGCACCCGCCGCACACAGGAGGTACCTTTCATCGCCGCTGCAGCCACTTTACACGGAAAAACACAAGCTTCCTCTCCAAAACAAAGCCCATGCAAGATCCTGGTTGGAATTTCCACTACAAAAGTAATGGACTTGGGTCCTATGTAAAAAATATCTTTCAATGGTTTTTACAGTCCCCCTAGGACCATGTGTCCTGGCATTTTGTAGTAACCCTAGGTCACATATGTTTCTAGATTCAAACATGGGCTGGCCATAGAAGTTTGTAGTGGTTAAGCATGTGAGACAATAGTCGACCCAAAATGGATATCTGAATTCACTCAGATTTGCCCTAAAAGTATTTTTGTAGTAAATTTGTAGGGTTCCACGTTCAATACTAATATTTCCCCAGAGTAGTTTTCAATTTAAATAATAGCGGGCCGTTGCAGTTTGTAGAAAAGACATTTTCGCAGTGCTCGAGTGAAATCACTGCTGAATTTGCGCTGCCATGTCTTATTCGACCCAACAACTGAGAAAAACATGCACAACACATACACACACACACAAACGAAATTTTTGTCCCTCCCCCATGGCAACCGCCTACTGTCATCGATCATCACAAGACCACGCACGACCAGGTTTTCTGGCGCCTGCATTTGTCATTTTTTTTTACTTTCAAAAAACAATTCTGTTCACTTTTTTTGTAGTGTATACCAAAAAATCACTACAAACTACTCTGTCATTTTTTGGGATTGATCTTGAAGACTTGAGTGGGATCTACTTAAAAATCACTACAAACATCTACGTGGTTTTTAAAGGGTATCTTGAAGGGCCTCTTGTTAGATTCTTTGGTTTTTGTAGTAACCCTTTATCCAGGCTGTGGTTGCACTTTTGTAGTGTTTTTTTGGGCATGTGCATGGAAAATGTAGTGATTGGGGTTGGGCAGAGCTACTTTACAGCTACAAAATCTTGACCCAACAGTCCTCCCCAAATACCAACCCCGATCATGCAAGATTCATGCAGCCATTACAATGCGTTTCGCAGCATCACGTCGCAAACCAGCACGTATCTACGCACATGGCAACACCAGATGACAACAATCATGTAGCCATATGTAGCCATTCCACTGCGATCTGCAACCACAAGTTCCAAAACACCCCATAACTACGCACGCACAAGCACACCCAAAGCAGCTTGAAGCCACCGTTACAGTGCCGCAAACAAAAAAAGGCAAACCGACCGCAGCCGCACCCGCCACACACGGGAGGTACCTTTCATCGCCGCCTGCAGCCACTTTACACGGAAAAACACAAGGTTTCGTGCTCCGGCTTCCTCCCCAAAACAAAGCCCATGCAACATTCATGCAGCCACTGCAATGATGCGTTTCGCAGCATTCCCTTCATCACCACTTCCCTTCGTCACCGCTTCCCTTAGTCACCACTTCCCTTCGTCACCAGTTTCTTCGTTACCACACACCCTTCGTCACCACTTCCCTTCGTCACCACCCTGTGTCATAGCCTCTTTTGATTTTGTGATGTATTGTTATGTGATGCAAAAGACACACACACACACCACCCTTCATCAATGTCAAGTCTCACAAGTCCATTGACACACACCACCCTTTATCAAGGTCAAGTCTCACAATTCTTTTTGTCCGGAACACGGAAGTATTGCTTCCCAACTTCCTTTGATTATATATTTATTGGGCCCCAACTAGATATATTCCAGGCAAAGTCATGCCAAGCATATGGCACTACCTGAATCAAACTCGAGAACGTGCGCGCACTTCTGGCGAAGAAGATATCACCTTCACAGTGGGTGTCAACTTGTTCGAGACATGGTGAGCTGTTGAACCTGTTTAACCGAAGCATACAGCAGCACTTTCGCCACCTGCAGGGCTGCATTTGTCGGCACAACCCTGCGCTGCTGCATCCAACCTGCTGTTGAGCTCTGCTGCTCGGACTGCCCGGGCGGTGATTCTACTTGCTATTGCTTGCTTTGTTTTCTGGAAAACGGGTTTCAAGAAGGTTACGATGGAGTATCTAGGTGGAAGTCAGTGTTCCGTCAGTTGTTTCCCTCAAGAGATTCGGCAGAAGGCTTGGCACAGCCTTCCTACGGATCAGTGAGCTCCCAGGATTCACCAGCGCAAAGTGCCGGTGAAGGATTCGGACTGGCAAAGCTCGGCTGACAAAAGACCTCAGCGAGTCACAGCCCTCACCAAAGTCATTTCAGAATTATTAACGCAGGAAGTTGCAAGTTAGTAGAAGACGAACCAAATTGACTTAGAGATGTTTGGAATATCCGAGGTCGTTGGTTGGAACCGAAATGCCGCGGAATTGACTGGCTTTTGCAAGGTGCCGGCCTACTTCCAGACTGAGTCATTAAGCCTTCCCTAGTCGCATGCAACATTTAAACGCCAAACGCATTGCAAATACCTCTTACTGCAAGGTTTGCAGAAAAGTGCCAGCAAAACAAGGGGAGCTGAGCATGCAAAACAAAACGCCGTGTTGATTTTGGGACATTATCCAGCACAACAGCGGGCAGCGGCAGTTGTGGCTCCTTGCGGCATTTTTGCCAAGTCGCATCATGGCTTGTGACCAAGTTAAGTTCCACAAATCCAATCACTGACTCGGAAGAATTCCTAAGAATTCCCCAGCCAGTTTTTATAGCGGCAATTTGTTGTCTTTCAAGTGGTGAAGTCCGCATCATCTGGCGAATGGATGTCTACAGTCTATAGCAGTTTTCTCCGTTGGAAAAACACGTGATTCCAGTTGATTTTTTGAATTTCGACTGATGACCCGATGACTGACATAGTTGGCGTAAGGGAATTCGTTCAACGGTATCAGTAGAATGGCTGATGCTGCTACGGACGGAGACGAGGTTGGATATTCCTTGTTGATGCTTTGTATAGCCAAGAATTTCTTCTAATGCCATCGAGCACCTGCCATTTCCAGCCACTCCATGGCACCATCTCTTTGTCTTACTCTATTCCATCAGTTGCAGGAGTTACTTTTCAAACGTGCCAGGATTATCCCGGAACTAGGATTCACATGTCAGTCATTCGAAGCTGTGGTCAACTGTTGTGCGGCCCAGCAAGCAGCAGGTAGACATTCTCAATGAGAAGGATTTGTACAAAATCTTGGGTGTCTCCCGTCTGCAAGATGCAGATCATACAGTTTTGTGTTTCCACGACTGGACTGTTGTTTTTCATGTTCGCTGGCTGGGCACTTGGCATTGGATATTTTCCATGATTTTCACAGAACCTCCAAGGTGTCTAAAGGTGCCAAAGCAGATGAGCCGCTTGCCGTGGGCTGTGTTTCAAAGTAAGGATGCAAGGAAACATCATCCTGCACTCAAAACTGTATACCATAGCTGTACCTATACTGTAACTCCTATAACTACATACTGCAGGCATATTGTAGTCATATCTAGTCGCTTCATGCAACTGCCGCATCTCTCGTCTCGAAGGGAGAATGATTCATATATAGATAATTATAGATAGTCATGACAGACAGGTAAGCTTCTAGACTTCAGATGATTTCAATTTCAGGCTAGGGTGCAAAGCATTTGGGAAACCCCCATGGAAGCAAAGGGACCAGGGTCACTTGCGCAACTTTTGATGTTCGCAGCTACTCTGTTTCGTAGTGCAACTGAGGCTTAAGAAGGCATACCGGCAGAAGTCCTTGAGATATCACCCCGACAAGAATCCTTCGCCTGATGCAAAACCAGTCTTTCAGAAAATCACAGAAGCGTACTCAATTCTGTCAGATGAAAAGAAGCGACTCAAGTACGACAAGTCTGGCGACATGGACTTGGAGGACTTTGACATAGATCAGTTTATGAACATGTGGGTTGGCGAGATGATGGAAGACGGTGGAGTTGTAGATGACATGATGCAGTCAGTCCTGCCTTGGACCAATGATGATGACAAGATGCTTCAGTTCATGGAAGAGCCCCTTGGTATATCTTGGAGGTTGTTCAGGCAGTGCCACGATATTCAAAAAACAAAGCTGGGTAATTTTCAGTAATTCTGCCTTCAGCGGCATCATGTTTGGCTGTTGGTCGCCAATGGGGCGCACTGGAACTTGATGTTGTGGGACGATGGAGGATGGGGAGTACGGGGCTCTGTCAGAAAGCCATGCAAGCTATTTGCTAGCCTCTCAGCTTTTCCTCTCAGCTTTTCCTCTCAGCTTTTCCTCTCAGCTTTTTCTCTCAGCTTTTCCTCTCAGCTTTTCCTCTCAGCTTTTTCTCTCAGCTTTTCCTCTCAGCTTTTCCTCTCAGCTTTTCCTCTCAGCTTTTCCTCTCAGCTTTTCCTCTCAGCTTTTCCTCTCAGCTTTTCCTCTCAGCTTTTCCTCTCAGCTTTTCCTCTCAGCTTTTTCTCTCAGCTTTTCCTCTCAGCTTTTCCTCTCAGCTTTTCCTCTCAGCTTTTCCTCTCAGCTTTTCCTCTCAGCTTTTCCTCTCCTCTCAGCTTTTCCAGCTTTTCCTCTCAGCTTTTCCTCTCAGCTTTCCTCCTTTTCCTCTCAGCTTTTCCTCAGCTTTTCCTCTCAGCTTTTCCTCTCAGCTTTTCTCTTTCCTCAGCTTTTCTTTCCTCTCAGCTTTTCCTCTCAGCTTTTCCTCTCAGCTTTTTCTCTCAGCTTTTCCTCTCAGCTTTTCCTCTCAGCTTTTCCTCTCAGCTTTTCCTCTCAGCTTCAGCTTTTCCTCTCAGCTTTTCCTCTCAGCTTTTCCTCTCAGCTTTTCCTCTCAGCTTTTCCTCTCAGCTTTTCCTCTCAGCTTTTCCTCTCAGCTTTTCCTCTCAGCTTTTCCTCAGCTTTTCCTCTCAGCTTTTCCTCTCAGCTTTTTCTCAGCTTTTTCTCCTCTCTCAGCTTTTCCTCTCAGCTTTTCCTCTCAGCTTTTCCTCTCTCAGCTTTTCCTCTCCTCTCAGCTTTTCCTCTCAGCTTTTCCTCTCTCTCAGCTTTTCCTCTCAGCTTTTCCTCTCAGCTTTTCCTCTCAGCTTTTCCTCTCAGCTTTTCCTCTCAGCTTTTCCTCTCAGCTTTTCCTCTCAGCTTTTTCTCTTTTCCTCTCAGCTTTTCCTCTCAGCTTTTCCTCTCAGCTTTTCCTCTCAGCTTTTTCTCTCAGCTTTTCCTCTCAGCCTTTCCTCTCAGCTTTCCCTCTCAGCTTTTCCTCTCAGCTGTTCCTCTCACTTTCCTCTCAGCTTTTCCTCAGCTTTTCCTCTCAGCTTTTCCTCTCAGCTGTTCCTCTCTCTCAGCTTTTCCTCTCAGCTTTTCCTCAGCTTTTCCTCTCAGCTTTTCCTCTCAGCTTTTCCTCTCAGCTTTTCCTCTCAGCTTTTCCTCTCAGCTTTTCCTCTCAGCTTTTCCTCTCAGCTTTCCTCTCAGCTTTTCCTCTCAGCTTTTCCTCAGCTTTTCCTCTCAGCTTTTCCTCTCAGCTTTCCTCTCAGCTTTTCCTCTCAGCTTTTCCTCTCAGCTTTTCCTCTCAGCTTTTCCAGCTTTTCCTCTCAGCTTTTCCTCTCAGCTTTTCCTCTCAGCTTTTCCTCTCAGCTTTTCCTCTCAGCTTTTCCTCTCAGCTTTTTCTCTCAGCTTTTCCTCTCAGCTTTTCCTCTCAGCTTTTCCTCTCAGCTTTTCCTCTCAGCTTTTTCTCTCAGCTTTTCCTCTCAGCTTTTCCTCTCAGCTTTTCCTCTCAGCTTTTCCTCTCAGCTGTTCCTCTCACTTTCCTCTCAGCTTTTCCTCTCAGCTTTTCCTCTCAGCTTTTCCTCTCAGCTTTTCCTCTCAGCTTTTCCTCTCAGCTGTTCCTCTCAGCTTTTCCTCTCAGCTTTTCCTCTCAGCTTTTCCTCTCAGCTTTTCCTCTCAGCTTTTCCTCTCAGCTTTTTCTCTCAGCCTTTCCTCTCAGCCTTTCCTCTCAGCTTTTCCTCTCAGCTTTTCCTCTCAGCTTTTTCTCTCAGCTTTTCCTCTCAGCTTTTCCTCTCAGCTTTTCCTCTCAGCTTTTCCTCTCAGCCTTTCCTCTCAGCTTTTCCTCTCAGCTTGCCTCTTTCCTCTCAGCTTTCTTTTCAGCTTTCGTCTCAACTTTACTGTCACCTTTCGTCTCAGCTTTCCTGTCAGCTTTCCTGTCACTTTCCTCTACTTGGAGGTTCGACTAGCTTATAAACTGTTTAGCGAGTTTGAAGGGTTTACTAACATTGCTAAACTGAGTTTATAACTGGCTTAAATTCAGTGTGCAGGAGTTATAACTTGGCTAAACTCTTTGATGAGTTTTTAAACTCCCAGGCAGTTTATAAACAGTTTATAAACTGCTCAAAGTGTTTGACGAGTTTAGCAAGTGCGTAAACTAGCCTACGCTAAAGTTGCTAAACTGAATGGTGCAGTTTGACCAGTTTAGCTAAGCTAGTTTAGGTGAGTTTAGCCAGGCTACCTAAGGTGCCTAAACTAGTTTTGGTAACCTGGCTAAACTAGTTTAGGTAACTTGGCTAAACTATATATATATATACACATATATATATACACATATATATATATTTATTGTATGTACATAATATATAAAACACATTCCCTGAAAAGAACGGATGCGGGTGGCAATGGTTTGTGGCAGGGATGGCGCACTTATAATTGGGACTGGCAAAAGATTGACCATGACGGGAAGAAATGTTTTCGAAATCCGTTTTTTTTTCTGGAATCAGATATAAAGATTGATGTATATATATATAATTATATATATAGCCTCTTTGGATGGGTTTCAGAAGAGCATATTTCCAAACAATTACTTGTACACCATGGGTGATTTGAAATTATGGATCTTTCTGAATTTGATTATCGCCCTCAAACCTGGATCAGATGAAATCCGGTTTAGGAATTGAAATATGGAATTGTTTTCTGAATCCAAACCATATGCAAAAAAAATGGATCGTTCTGAATCCGATTTTGGACTTGCGAAGTTTGATTTTATGAAAACAACAGTACAACCAGTTAGATATTTGAAACCTGAAATATTTTTACACCTGGATCATTTTGAATTTGATTTTTGAACCCTTGGTTTTCTGAATCCAAGCTAAGTAGTATACTTGAAACATGGACCATTCTGAATCTGATTTTTTGAACCCTTGGTTTTCTGAATCCAAGCTAAATATACTTGAGACATCTTGAGAACTGGACCATTCTGAATCCAATTTTTTATCCCTGGTTTTCTGAATCCAAACTGAGTATAATTGAAACCTGCATCATTTTGAATCCGATTTTGAATCCCTGGTTTTCCGAACCCAAACAAAGCATAGACGACTTGAAACATGGATCATTTTGCGAATCCGATTTTTTGAACCACTGGTTTTCTGAACCTAGACTAAATATATAGGAAAAAAATGTCATACCTGGATCTTTTTAAACTCATTTTTTGAATTGAAACCTGGTATTTATATACTTGAAACCTGGATCATTCAATCCGATTTTTCAATTGAAACCTGGTCTTTATTGATCACGTAGTTAGACCAGAAACTTTTGTAATCCGATCATATTTAAAACCGATTGTACCATCATACTTTTTTAAAACCAAAGATATATATATATATATATGATTTTCCAAAGTATATTTTAAAAACCACCTCGCCACGGCCGGTGCCTGCGGTGGCTTTGCGGCAGCCTGCCAAGTGCAGGCGCGGCCAGTTGGCTGTTGGGGAGTTGGTGGTGTGTGTATATATATATATATTATAATTATATATATATTATATATATATGTATGTATAGGTTTATATGGGGTATGGTCCAGTCAAGAGCTCAATGCAGTGTTTTAAAAAAAATCATCTATAAATCATAAAGAAGTTGTCATCGACCTCACAAAATCCATATTATACATACATATAACATACCGAAATCATCTATAGGTTCCTGTTCATTTTTTTCGGTCACACATGAATATTTGTAAAACAGATATATTTCATCATCCCCAATTATACTTTTATACATATATATATATATGTATAAACAGATATTGTAACGATAATACATCTTCAAAAAACGATAGCATTTGCTTATATACCAAAACCTGGAAAACGATTTTACACTCTTGAAATTTTGATGACTTGGAGCATTATATATGTATAGATTTATATGGGCATGGTTCAGTCAAGAGTTCAACGCAGTGCTTAAAGAATTGTCATCTAAATCATAGTTGTCATCACACACACTATATATATATGACGAGATCATTTGTTACGCAAGCCAGCCGATAGGCTAGGCAAAGTTGTTTTGGCGAACCAAATGAGTATTAGGGGGTCTGCGGGGTGGACGTGGCGTGAGGGGCCGGAAGCTCGAAATTAGTTGCAGCGGAGGCCGTGCAAATTGAAGTTTTTTGTGGGGCATGTACCACTACGCAGTTGACTCCGGCAGGAAAAAGGCAGGAAAAAACCAAGGAAAATGAAGGAACATCGTTAAAAACAGGGGGAAAACGGAGGAAAATGGAGGAACGGCAGGAAAAAGGTAGGAAACAATTACAGAAAATGAAGGAAAATCGTTAAAAGCCGGGGGGAAAACGGAGGAAAATGGAGGAACTCCGAAGCTCAACGGAGAGCAGCGTCCGTTGGGGTTCGGAACATGAGAGTTTGCAAGGGGATGAGAAGTGATACTGAGGAAGGGGTGGCGAAGGGTTGCAAAGCAAGGATAACGATTCCAAAGGTGCTGCAGATGGTTTGGGCTTCTAGTAGACGATGAACCAGCGGGCTGAGGATCATTACAGTAGGGGGTGGAGAGTGACTGTTGTGGGGGGAGTGCGCAGTGTAAAGTGTAAAGTGTGGAGCGTAGAGTGTAGAGTGTAAAGGGCAGAGTGTAAAGTGTAAAGTGCAGAGCGTAAAGTGTAGAGTCTGGAATGTCAAGTGTAAAGTGTAGAGTGTGGAGTGTGGAGTGGAAAGTGTAGAGTGTGGAGTGTGGAGTATAAGGTGTGGAGTGACAAACAATCTTTCACCCACCATGGAGTGAGGAGTGTACAGTGTAAAGTGTAAAGTGTGGAGTGTAGAGTGTAGAGTGTAAAGTGTAGAGTGTGGAGTGTAAAGTGT